GAAGCAACCATGTTGCTGCAAGTGGCATTATGTTGTCGGTTTTTATGGCTGAGTAGTATTCCATTGTATAAATATACCACATCTTCTTTATCCAGTCATCCGTTGATGGACATATAGGCTGTTTCTATGTCTTGGCTATTGTAAATAGTGCTGCTATGAATATTGGGGTGCATGTGTCATCCTGAAGTAGGGTTCCTTCTGGATATATGCTCAGGAGCGGGATTCCTGGGTCATATGGTACAGCTGATCATTTTTAAGTGATGGGAATGCTGATACTTACCCATAGACGTGAAGATAAATCATCCTCTGTTCTTTAAGGGAACAAAACCCAACAAGGTTAGGTAGACGTTACCACTTCTTAAAGGAGAACCAGCTCTTCGTTTCCATTGATGTGAAAAATCTTTTGCCAAATTTGTTTCGAGTGCTTGGTTGAATGTAGTCATGTGTGTACGTGACCCTTTGCCTTCAAATATTAACCAAAGACTGGAAATTGTTGTATCTTGGAGGTTTTGATTATGACACTAAGACTTCGGGGCATTATTAAATGGGGAACAAGGAATCAGGAAACATGTTTGAACAGGAAATGGGCTTGACAGAAATCTGTGCTGCAGAAAGGGGAGTCTATGAGCAGGAAATGTGCTGGATTTGGGCAGGGACTCTAGGAGGGAATCTGTTTCAAGGTTATTATGGTTGTTCTGGAATGAATGGGGTTGTGGGTGAGTGGAATGCAGAAGAAGGATGGTGAGAGAGAGCCAGAGGCAAACTACCTCGGCGTAGAAGGAGATGAGGGAGGTGGCAGGGAGTAGGGGAGGGAAAGGAAGAGCGGGGAAAGAGAAGTCCCATACAATATGACTCTTGCTTTGTCCTTTGAGCCCATTTGCACATGAAGAACAAGAACCACAGAATATGATTTCAGATTTGTCCAGGTGACATGGTTCTTTGCAGGGTGTCATGTAATTTTAATGCTTTTTATTTGATCCTGCAAATGGGAACATTTTATCAGCAAAAAAAAAAAAATGGATACAAAGTAAAGTCAGAAATAGGAGCTCACATGCCCATTAAAAAAAAAAAGTCAAGTTGTTGAATTCAGTGTGATTGGCTGACCCTGAGTTTTTCTGTCATTGTCTCTGGCACTTACTCATTTTGCTCTGTGCTGGATCTCTCTAGAAAAAAGACAGTGGTGAATGCCAAGTTTTAAAACAAAGTAATAGAGTAAACTTTCAATGGAGAATATTCATTTGTTAATTTTTTTTCCACAGCAGAATACCTTGGTGCAGTTGGTCTGAGAACCTCTCACAGTGACGTTTTTTCCCTAAAAGTAAATTTTTTTTGGCTTAGTGAGACTGTAGGCTTCTTGAGGACTCATGCCTTACTCTTCCTTGTTTTATTCCTATTCACTGGTTGCCATGATGAATGTGATAACCACATAACGAGCAACTGATGGGGATAAACCGTGTGTCGATCCAGATGTGCGGAGGTTTCCGATACGTGTTCTTGGAGATGGAACTCTGCCAAAAATCAGACTAAAGTGGGTTTGATTTTTTTTCAATTATTTCTTCTCTTTGATTTGAGGGAAGCAATAGTGAAGTCCTAAGACTAGAAAGACTGTTGAGTTTTATTACAGTTGAAGGTCTAAACTCATGAGCCTGGGTACTTGAGGAGTCATCATTACTTCCCTTACATAGCGTTACTTGCCAGCTCAACAAAACAGAAACGCATTAGTTCACATTCTGAAGGTTATCTTTTTCTGATGGAAGGTACCAAAACCGTTCTATTTTAGGGATGAAAGCCTTGAGTCCAGAGAGTTGTTACTACGGTGCTTAAAGTGTACCCTGTACTTCATAATCAATGTTTCCTAAATGGACGGTAATGCTTAGCTCAGGCACATTCCAGATGGCTAAAGACAAAAATTGCAACGTAGAACCAATTTTAAAAAATCAGTTTAATTCCACGAAAAAAGACATGCAAATCCAAGTACATTGTTTATCCCAAACAGCTGTGAAATTCTGTTACGTTACCACCATGACGGTAGAAGATGGCCATTCTGGAAATTATATTACTGTGTGAGTCAAGGGAAGGTATGGATAAATGGGGAAAATTGTACTC